GTAGATTTATATCACTCTCCTTTTTTTTATCATAAGCTCTTGAGCTAGTTTTGTATCTTTTTGAAGTGTTAGTATAATTACTCTCGATATTTCTTCCTCAGAAAACCCAATGACTTGAACATGTCTACTGAGAGTATCCATTCTTAAAAGTGAAGAGGAGGCATAGCTACGGGAGGTAACAATTACTGAACATTGATCTAAATGATTTTTGCAAATGATACTATAAGCTAATGAAGACTGTCTGAGTTGTTCACTTAGTTCATCCCAACCATCAAAAATTATCAATAATCCTTCTCCATTCCTCTTTTCAAACCATTCAACTACAATAGGAACTTCATAACGTTGACGCACAAACAGGTCAGCTAGTGTAGTAGCTGTAGCTATTTTGCTATTCCTTAAAGGACAGTAAAGTACCAAGTCATACTGTTGGTGTACAAGTGTTCCATTAGACCACATATTTAACAGTTTACGACAGAGTGTTGTCTTGCCAATACCAGGAGGACCATCTATTACTACTCCCAAAGACAGAGAACTATCTGTGGATTGGAGGATATCTTCAACAGCTATCTCTTTGTTTTCAGTTAATTTAACTGTTTTATCAACCTGTCCTCTTAGTAGATGCCAAGCTGATTTTTCCTGTGTGCTGGAGTCTTGCTGTTCTACTAGTGCTAGTCTTCCAAAGTAATCCTTTCCAATTCTTGGGGGCCAGTCTGTAGCAACAATAGGTTGGTGTTTGTAGTGTTGTCTCATATTGTCAGCATATCCTTGAACATCATCAGGTATTGAACTAATGGATGTGACACTATCAGGTATAGACTGACCTAATGTATTAAGATATAATGACTGCATCGATCACTGATGCATGCACACACTCACCTAACTGGTGTAATATAGAGGTAACAATATCTCTTAGTGTACAATGTTGTTGGTTTATTAGTACATGACATATTCTAGTTAGATACTTCTCTGGGTTTTGAGAGGATTCCAACTGTTTACATAGTACACTCATCAGTTTCATTGCTTTAGTATAATCAGTCATAACTCCCATTACAAGTACATCGTCAAAAGCTTGTTGTGGTATCAATTTTTTAGCATGTAATTCAGTGGCTGTTTTGTAAAGATTATGTGAGATTTCAGTAGTGAGTTCAACAAAATGGGTCATTAATATATCCTTTGGATTACCTGCAGTATAGTGTATCAGTTAATGAGTGTTATATTTAAGGTGTATGTTTACCTGATGTAGATCTACATGTAGTACTAGTAACAGGTTTATTAATAGATGATAGAACAATAGATACTACTGGTATAGCACTAGGAGCATCAGTAGTACCTATTAATCATAATAATAATCATTACCATCATGCATCATGTACCTCCTATGCCTTGTTGTACTTCTAGTTGATTACTAATGAATTGCATTAGTACAGTTTCTTTCCTTCTTTTTAATGCTAATATCACATCCTTCCATTTTGCATTTTCATTAATAGATAACCATTCTGTGATGAGCCTCTTCTTTTTATGATAAAGATCAGTTTCTGATCTTTCAATTAGTGTAATAATATCTGGAGTTATTCCTGGTAACTGACGTCCAAATAGCTGCCAGTCTATTAGTGGTTCAAGCCATTGAAGCAACAGAGAAATATCAGGTTTATCATCAACTATAGGACCAGGATTACTTTCAATGTCTCCTGATAAGAGGAGAAGCATACGTAAGAGATCATAGTTTTTGGAACAGTTGCTTGGAAGGTAGTTTGTAGTACATTGTACTTGGTAGCAGTTACCTAATAATAAAACACCAGTAATATACAAATACGAGTTGCAATCGTTGTTTACCTGCTAGAGGAATCATCAAGATGTGTCTTAATAAAGAGAGAGAGTGAAAGAGGAGGAGGAAAGCAATAAGAGACAGAGCTGCTGGCAGTTTAGATGTCTTCTCTCCTGATGTAGTACTGCCTGACTTGCTGTCTATTGCGGCATGGAATAAGTGAGAATGGCAGCCATTAGCTGGTCTATTGGAGGCAGCTTGACAGTTACTGTAGTTCCACACTCCAATACTTGCTCTCCATTGAAAGACATCAATCATCTTGCAATTATAGTTATAGCAAAATATGATATACTGAATAGTAGTTTCTTTATCCAGTTACTGATGGCGAGGGCAAGAAAAGTGGGTGTATTTGTAATTGTTAACATGTAATATGAGAATCCTCCAGTGCTTATGAATAAACTATAAATACCAAGTGCTTGTACATGTAATAGTTCCTTATTGTGACCAAATTTGGTCAATTCATATCATATGACATTATGGTTTCTCTCCCTCCCTTTGTCTTTCCCTCTCTTCCACAATTCCTA